TGAATGAGCATGAAATACAGTCAAAATTGGGCACAACCTTTTATAGACCCGTTATTTTGTATTCTGGTATATGAAATCTAATAACATTCGTTTCATTTCAGAAATTCCAGTTGGATTTTAACCACTACACTTGTCCTGTCAGTGCTGGTGCTGCTCTGGATTTGTTGTGCAACTGTAGCTACAGCTGTAGAGCAGTATGTTCCATCTGAGGTAACTCTATTATGTTACAGCTTTCTACAGAATCATAAGCATCGTGGGGGGTCAATTAGAGTTTTTTACTTTGCAGATGTGGTTAGCAAACAAATTGTTGTTTGAATGATTTTCTAGCTGAACGTCTGCCTGTCCCTGCGGCTGATAGGTGCTCTGAGCCTTGCTCAGTAAGCACAGATGCTGTCTTCTGGCTTGTAGCCCTGCCTTCTTAGCAACCTCTGGGTTACTCTTCACAAATGGAGGTTGCTTCTGGTTTCTCTGAGAATTGGATGGGGCAGGTGGCAACTAGTAGGGATTTAATTCAGGAGCATCAGTGGTGAGAAGTGACAGCGTGTTGTTGGTGACTGCAGCAAGTCTGTATGAAGGGGAACCAACTGAACTAGCATTCCTACAGCCCAAAGAGAGCAAGACTTGCAGTGTTTGCAAGCTAAAGAGTTTGGTACACAAGCACTGCATGTACTGTTTTTTTCCTCTGGCATTTATTTGGACTTAAATCTAGTCTCAGCCATGAGTTTCAGATGTTGCAGAAAGTGTGAGTTAGCTTGCGTTGAAGAGCTGCAGCTATGAAAGAGGGTAGTTGTGTAACAAAATGCAATTGATTCATATATGAAGAGTCTTTATCTTAAAGTAGTTCATTTAAATATTTCAGAAACTGAGCATCTATGGAGATCTGGAATACATGAATGAACAAAAACTGAACAGATACCCATCCTCTGCACTTGTTGTGGTTAGATGCAAGACTGAGGAACATGAAGAAGCAGGACCTCTTCCTACAAAAGTTAATCTGGCTCAATCAGCAATTTAAATAAGCCTCCATTGGATTGAATAGACTAATTCTAACTGTGCTAGCAACTCCTGATTGTTTGTGGTGGTTCTTCAGATAAGAAGCTTAGCAGCAAGTCTTTAAATGCAGATAAAATTACAGAATCAACAGATGTCATGGTTTTTTTTTTCCCCTCTAGTAGTGAAGATTCAGACACCTTGAATTTGTTTCCAGACATAATCACTTTCCACTGGTGTTTGCTCTGTGTCTTTTTGCTTACAGAAGCTGTAAGCACGCTTTCCATATTTCTGCCATGACACTTTCAAACTTATTTGTGTATTCTAGGATATACTGTGTACATTCAAGAGCTAGCTCTGTAAAGATATAAGAAATTTTAAGTAGGCAGGAGATGCCTTTTTAGTGTTGCACTTTCTGTTGTAGTTAAGAGAAAATATTATAAAATTATCTGCTGTTCTTTTTTTGGGGGGGTGGGGGGTACTTGTGAATGTTCATGCACAAACAGCCCTTTCTCCAAGAACAGAAATCTATTTTTTCTACCGTGTGGCAATATCCAGGATGGAAAGCATCTGTGAATTACTGTAGGCTAGAACTCAGTTTGTGGAAGGTGGAAGATGTGTTAAAAACATGTGGGCATATGCTTTCACAGACAGAACATTACATGGTTAATTAAATGTCAGACTGTAGCCTTTACATCTCAAATTGCTTGTAAAGTTAGAGCCTGTGTTTTCCGAAGGAATTCTACTTTCTGTTCTTGATCAACTATTCTAGTCTTGTAACTTCATTTACAGAAACAAGGTGATTCCTGAGAAATGAGAACAGATGAATAAAAACGACTGTATAGGAATTACTGACTGTACAGCCTTTAGCTGTGGTTCGTTATTGCTTTACTCCATCTGAAAGGCTGGCATTCCTCCCGTTGGCAATGTGAGCTGATTTTGCTGTGTGTGATTCACTAATACAACACCTAACAGTGTCCTTCACATTTCTAATGTATTTTGTTGCCATTCTTTTCTTTGAGGATTTGACTATAGCAGATGTATGATTTATTTTAAGGTCTCTTTGTAAGCATTTGAAAACTGACTAGAATGCATGACGCCCAGCTCATCAGCATGGTTTGTTGGTTGTACCAACTCTGGTGAAAGTTTAAAAACAAGCAAACAAACAGCTGTCTTCAAGTTTTGAGTTCTGGTGAAAATCTGAGGTTCTGGGGAGTGCAGTCCATCGTTCCCTTTCTGTTAGATCTCGTTCAGTAGCCATGGCTGATGTGGCTGCTGGTTGTGTGAGCTGCAGGTAATGATCCGTGCAGGAACGTGGTGGTTGCCTATACAGTGCTGCAGGAAGTTGTGTCCTAGGTGCACCGAAGCAAATTTTCTGTCAGTGAATTATAAGAGTATGCAGAGGTTTGTTTTGAACAGGCACGTATGGGTGTAGTAACTGTAATTTGAAGTCTTAACTTAGTAGTACCTCTGCATGTTAAATTCTTCAGTGAGCAACAGCCCTGAAAACTGAGTGTGGGCAGCCATGGACGTGTACCTTTCTTTGTGTGTTGGTGGCATTACTGTAAGGCCTCAAACCCTCCTGTTTTGAAAACCATGTGTGTGTTCAGAATGCTGTTCCACTGCGTAACAGCAATGGGAAATCCCTGCTGTAGTGACTGGGCTGAGACACACAGCCTCAGAATGCAGCCCTGTGTCAGTACTGAGTGCCAGCGTTCTGCTGCCGGTGGGATCAGGTGTGATGTGTGCAAATGGCTGTTTAACAGCTTGTAAGCATGGGCTTGGCGATTGTAGCCCGTGTTCTCAGCAATACTTTGTTCTGGAAAGCCTTTAGCAATCCCTTGAATTCTTGTAATTGAGTAAGTGACATATAGATGTGTTGGAGTCTGTTAAAATATTTGAACTTACTGTTGCATGTAGTTGCAGAGGGAGTGTTATGGCTTCACTAATCCATGGCTATTTATGTGTTTTAAATATGTACATTACAGCCTCTGTTACCTTGATGATTTCTTCTCATGATCGTGAAACTTTCCCTCCTGTTCCAAAATGTCTGACTTTATTGCTTACATTCCTAGGTTTGAATTAAACAAATTCTGCTTTCATTTGGCATTGTGTCTGCCTGCAAGTCCACAACAAAGGGAGAAAACTCAACAAATAGATCAAATAAAAGTTCTGTGTGTTTTGTCTTTTGTTGGCTGTTTAATGGCATTTCAGTAGTGTGCAGTGTCACCCATGATTCAGTAATGTTAGGTACAGGAAGCTATGCCTGTACAGTCTGACACTTAGCATTGCTACTTGCCAAGTGCACCAGGTCTAAAGAAATTGTTAAGAGGATTTGTAAGCTCGTGTCAAAGCATATTCCTTTGGTATTATTGGGTACTACCATTAGGTTGCAGTAATGGAGCTGTTTCTCAAGATTTTGAATCTAAATGGAGTATTTAAGCTGTTTTAGTGTTGGACTTTGCAAAACAGCTTGTCCTATTTTTATATTTTTTTGTTTAACTTCCTAACGTCTTCGTTCTCAGAGGCTGCAATTTGGGTTTGATCTCTGCCCAAGACCACTATTTAAATGAAGGACCTTAAGTGATTGAAATTGCAGGAGGAAAGCATTTTCTGTTCTCTTCAGGCATACATTCCATTGAACTTGCTTCAGCCCTTAAATTCAGTCATCTTGACATGAGCAAAGGCATCTATCTCAACGTGTGCAATTAATTGCTGCAAGAAACAGCTACGGTACGTTTTGGGGAGGGGGTTAGGTTTTGTGGTTTAGGTGATGGAATCAGCAATAGTCTTGTATCATGCATGGTATGTTCATCTTTTCCCCTGTCAGCCTCCCTGATCTTTGGCAAAGATCTTCAACTTCAGAAAGTCTTGCTTGTGTTCGTTACCGTGTTCTCGTTAAATTCTTGAACTCATGGTCTGATGTGGTGTAACTGCTCTAAACCCAACTACCTGCTTGGTTACAGCTGAGCTTGATAACCTTCGTGTAGGAAATAGGTCATGGTGGGTGTCTGGTCTCACAGGCATTTCCCTCTGAAAGCTGGTTTACTCCATGTCTTCAACATTTTCATTACAGATTGTTTTGTGGGGTGTGCATGGGAAGCCTGGTTGGTCTGGTTGTCACGTGTGACTCTAACCAAGCTCATTATCACCTAAAAAGCTATTCTAAGGCTTAAAATATTCATTCTATAGTGATGATTAGGAATTTGAACTTTCTCCGTAGAGAGAAGCAGATCTGGAATTTGATAGCATTTTTAACCTTTTATCTAGTACTGTTCCATGGTGTGGGTGCCTAGAGTTGCAGACCTGGTGTACTCAGAATCCCCTCTGAACAGGACAGCTTCCTGGCACGGAGTTTAGCAGTGATACGTTCCTGTGAGAAACTGGGACAAGTGAGCGTTGCCACGTTGGAGGAAGAGATCCACAAGGTTGTGTTTGATTTTGGAAGTTCTCTGAGTGGGTGTGTATGGAGTTGGCAGGTGTTGTCAGGAAACATGTAATAACTCAGTCAGGAATAATTTGTGTGTTTGGGGATGCAGAAGGAAGTAGCAACAATTGTTGCTGTGTCAGGCATCGTTTGTTGTTTTGAATCAGTTAATTTAGTGAGACTGTCTTGGTGCCAGCTTTTAGGTAGTAACAGCTGCCAATTTCTCCCAAGTCATGGTAAAGTAGTTCTTTGAGTGCTTGGGCTGAGGATGGGAGGGGGCATGTTGCTTCCAGGGTGGCAATAATTCAGAGTGCTTGAGTCTCCAATGCAGGAGCGAATTCTGTCAGCAAGTGGGACATGAACCTATGCTATTTTGTCCTTGAAACTGCAAAGCCTGTGGGTATATCCTGGCCTGCTCTTGCAGGAGCCTGGGGTTATGTTGCTACAACACTAGTGGGTTAGCCCTGGTTTGGGAAGGAGCTGGGGAAAGGTGTTTTGGGTGAGGGTGATCCGACTCCATTTCCTCAGGCTTTCAGTTCATTCTCTTCAGTAGCTGGCAGGCATTGAGTGCAAGCTGTGTCAGCATGGGAAGTTCCCGTTTGCCTCATACCCTGTCATGAAGCCAAGGTGAAGCTGGGAGGAGGGAGAAGCAAAAGAAGCCCTGCTTCCAACCAGAGAAGGGGCTCAGCCTGCCAGCCCTGTCCTCCTGTCCACATGCCTGGGCAGCACAGTGCTTCTTTCTTCCCTCCCTCTGTTGCTTTTTGTGTCCTGGTAACGTTGCTTATGTTAGAGACCGTATATGTTGGTAACATGGCTGCATTTTAGGGTGCAGAAAGCTTCCTGTGGTCCTCTGAGCTGCTCTGAAGGCTGTAGCTCCAGGAGGAATGAACAAAACTCACCCCCAGGTACGGTCCTCTTCATGAAAATCTTGTGTTCTCTAAAATTCGTGTGTTCTTGATAATGTTTGTCTGATCTCTCTATCAGTGGCTTCTAAGTTTTCCAGTCCTGTCTACTTCACCTAATTTGATATGAAAGTGTATTGGTACAGCTTTACTGGCATCAAGTGCTGGACTTGCCTCAGTGTTTGTTGTGCAAATGGGTTGCTGAAATCTGAAAAGCAATCTGATTGCTCTGTGAACCAAATGCAGGCTGTGTTTCCACTGAGCCAACTTTTGTTAGTATGTAAAATATGTATATCAGTACTTATCTGTGTCCATTCCTGGATGAGATGGCACCAGAACCAGAAAAGCAACCACGGTGTGCTCACGTGCTACGTCTGGAAATGGTGTTTTATTCTTTCACTTCTAGAGAAATGGTGATGTAACTACTTTTGATTCAGCCAAGTCCTCTGAAGAACAAGGTAACAAAATGCCGAGCTTAACATTTTCGTTATTGAATTCTAAATCAGTGGAGCCTATCTCTGTAATGTAAAATGCAGGAAGTATTTATGGTGTGTTGAGACTGTTGTGTTTTCTCTTTTCCCCAGCCCTCTGTAGTGAAACATCCTGACTATAAAATTAATAGACTTAAGATGCTTTTTGCTGGCCTGGAGGTGGCAGGCTTATGGTATAGCATCATGATATATATTCTTACCTTTTACAAAAGAGGCTCATTATGGAATTTCTACAGGCTTTCTATATGTTTTAATAGCTAGGCTTCAGCAAATTTTATTTAAGAAGAAAGTGAGATCACATGCAGTTGATAATAAGTCTGCAGATTGGCTTGCGACAGCATTTCCTCACTACCATTAATTTATACTCGTGCCTGTTTGCAGCCATTCTGCCTACTGGTCAAAGGTGTTGTCCTGTGAACTGCAGCATGTCTGTGTCTACCACTTGCCTTTTAAGCTGCAGTGTTCTGCCTTTGATTCGTACTTGTGTTTGATGTGGGGGATGGTTACTGCTTCTTTGAATCCCTTTGCAGTTGAGCAAATGGTGTGTCTTACACTCGTACAACACATAGCAATTAAGTACATGAGGTACAGCTAAGTAATCCTGGCTTTTAGATCAAAGCTTGTTGCCTTTGCTTCCCAACAGGCTGCTGCCGTCCATGCTGTGCCCACCTGTGCTGCCCACCGAGACGGGCCTGCGTTGTGCTGCTGCTCCTGGCTGCCATAGCAGCCATTGTGGGCCTGGCAATCGCACTGGGACTGCAGCTACGTGCACCGGGTTGGTCCCCAGGAGTCATTATTAGCGCAGTGAGGGAGGCCTGTTGCTATGGGGGATGTTCCCCATACCAGTGAACATGACAGTGTCAGAAGATAGTATTTCTTGCTTTCCTTTCAGTGAACCGCACCTGTGTAGCCACCCATAACTGGACAGGCTTCTTGTGCAATGACAGAGTGACCTGCATCCCAGCCAGCCAGGTCTGTGATGGAACTGCCAACTGTAGAAATGGAGAGGATGAGCAGGAGAAACTCTGTGGTGAGCTGTTCTGTTATGATCCTCCCATACTGGTCTTCCTATTGATCTCCAAAGATCTGCCTCACCTACAGGGCCATTCGTGAAGCACTTTGGTGCTGCCTGTCCCTGTTCTGACAGGTACATCTGTACCTGCAGGAGCTCAGCCTCTGCCCTTGCAGGTGACCTGCCCCGCAGCCTGCCGGCATACCTGGTTTTCCACTGTGGTAACCCTGAGCACTGGGTCTATGCTGACCAGAGGTGTAATGGGATGAACGACTGCGGAGACTGCTCCGATGAGATGGGGAGCTGTAAGTCTGCCTTTGGGCTGTGCTTAGTGAAAGATCTGCTGATAGCTTGAAGAGGTTTTGTGGGGTTGGTGCTCACTGGTGCTCCTGGAAAAGTCTGGAGGTTGGTGTCCTCTGAAACACAAAATAGAGACAAAACACGTGGGCTTCTTCACGTGTGTGGCCAAAGGCTGGAGGCAGTTGAGAGGGGAGAGACTCCATGCTTCAAAAGGCTTTTCCAGTCTAAATGGCACTATGATTCTGTGGCTGTGATGCTTAAGGCACATGGTGTAGTGATGGGACTTATCGGGTTGACATGACTTGGTAATCTTTAAGGCCTTTTTCAACCTAAATGATTTTTTGATTATTTGTTCCCAGCCCCAAAAGTCATTCCATCTTTGTGACTTGCTGAGCACCAAGCAATTTCATCTCAATGTGGATCTGTAGACAGCACCAATTATTCAAAACTGATCTTTGGTCAGGAGATAAGTTTGTCTGTAAGACCGAGGGGGACTGAGTGTGCACCTCTGTGATCTAAATCCAGCTCTGCTCAAACTCGAGCAGCAGGTTTGCTCCTAAATCACCTCTGAGATTTTGAACCTCAGACAGCACCTTTCTCTAGGGTGGCTTGCTAAACAAACAAATCACAGCTGGTCATTGCTCCCAGGATGCCATCTCTGCCACAGAGGGCATCGCAGTGTCTTTCTGGTCGATTCACAGACTGAGGGTCATCCCTGGTGGCTTCTCAGTAGCAGCTGTGGAGTTAAATGGTGTAAGGGAGGAGGTGCCTGTGAGTGCAGCAGCATTTTTCTTCCTGGTTTCTTGTCCCTGCAGTAGCTGCCTGCCCTCCCTGCGGCCCAGCGTGGTGGAGCTGCAGCCCTGTTCACTACAAGTACTGCTCCTGTGTGCCCAGGGCACTGTGCCGCGATGGTGTGCAGCACTGCGTGAGCTGGTCAGATGAGTACCTCTGCAGGCCGTGAGGTCTGGGCACCAAGAAGTGTTTGACATGGCGAGGTGCTTCCTGCACTGTCACTTCCTGCTGTGCCACCACCCTGGAAATTCTGGCACAAGCAGGCCCAGGTGAGCAGCTGCAAAAGGCCTGCGGCAGAGATGGGTGCTGTGCTGCTGGCATCCCAGTGCTGCAGGCCGGGCATCAGCTGTGGGACACCTCTGTGGGTTCTCCTGAGCACCTCTTGGGGCTCTGAGGGTGCAGAGTGGCAGCTTGGTGCTTAATGAGCAGCTGTTGGACTGAGATGTGTTGTAGAGCAGTTAGAAAGTGAAAAAGGAGGGAAACGAAGTCTGTTGCATCCTTGGAGCTGCGAGCAGAGGAAAACCAAGAGCTGCTGCCAGGCCATGGGATGACATGGGATCTGCTCAGTTTGCTCCTCTGCCAGTGCTGCAGGACCAGCCAGCTGCCTTCACAGCACCCACGAGATGTAGGTACAGATGTGTCATTGAAATGTAAGAAAGCTGTGGTCTTTCTCTCTTCTTTTGAAAACCTTGCCTGTGTCTGAAACATCAATCCCAGATCTAGTGTTCCAGGCCCCAAAAAACCACTGGGCATTATTCTTCCTGCATGCCAGCTCATAGATCTTCAAAAATAAATCCTGGTTCACTCATTTCTTCTCTGTCCTGTGATCTGTAACTCGGCATCTCTCCATAACTTGTATAAATAGTGAATGTTTGTTCTAATTTGTAGCTGGGATACAGCCATAGCTCTGAAAGATCCTTTAAAAATAGCTGCACTGTGTTCTGACTCATGCTTTTACCTAGAATGAAACGGCAGAACTCAGCACAATGGTACTGTGGAGATGTTTAGAGCCATGTTTAATAACCTGTCCGTTTCCATGCCACGTAGGACGGCTGGCTTGCTTTCTCTGTGTCGGTACAACATCACTGCAGTTTGCTCAGTGCTGCAGCTCAAAGAGTGGTTGGAAGTATCTTAGGTAAATGTTTCTCACATTCAGGCTACCACCCTGTCAAAAAAAAAAAAAAAAGAGATAGAGCTGCACATTTTTGCTAGAAAAATCACTGGCATCTAACATTGCAACGAGGCTGATTTGAGGTTGGTAAATCCTGGCTTCTTGTAGACACTGTGGTTGGGAGGAGGATGCTGGTCAGGCTGGCCCACGTGGCGCTGCTGGATTCCCCAGTGCGTGTTTGTCAGTTGGTGCAGCAGCTCCCCTCTTCGGTGGTGGATCTGTGCCTTGGAGCTCCAAAGGGAGATGTTGAGGACGGCAGTAAGCGTGCTTGAGTCATTCTTGGATAAAATGTGCACAAGGGTGTGTTGAAAAGGGGAAGTCTGCCAGTCAGCACGCAGAGCTAAGGAAAGGGCTAATTTTATCAGGGATGGAGAACACAAGCACAGTGCTTTAAAACACCTCTTTTGAAAAGTGAGGCTATACTGTATTGTTTTACTGATGCTCCTGTGACCTGACAGGCTCTCCATGCCAAGTCACAACGTGTCTATTTGGTGTGTCAGAGCCCCAGCTCCCAGCTGCTAGACTGAGGTGAGGCGGTGCACACAGTTCTGTGAGGTGGGCATCTCTTCATGGTCACAGTAGCAGATGGTAACTGGGGAGGGTTTAGCAAAGCAAAAATAATCCGTGCTGGCTGATGCACCAAACTGCAGCTGCAGGAGCAGCGCTGGGCCTGAGCGTCACAGCCTGTCAAGCTGTTCTGCTAAGTCACTGTTTGTGCTGTTATTTGCCTCAGATGAGGGCTGATGTCTTCAGTGGACGCTATAAATAGTTTTGAGTTTCTGGGAAAAAATGTAGGGCCTGAATGTAAGTATGCTTGTCTGTTTGTAGTCCTTCTTTGAAGAAACTTCAGCACTAATGGAGCAAAGTGAGAAAGGCTCTTCTCTCATCTCTCTGCACTCTAGAGGCAAAGTTCCCTTTCTTGGCATCTTTGCCATTTCCAATAATGCATGTCTTTTGTTGTCACTTACTCTGATAAAGGCTGTGTAACAGATCCTCTAACTAAGCACCAGTAGAGGAAACCTGTTTAAGTTCTCAGCCTTAAAGGACACAAAGAAGCTCTCAGGCTCAGTTCACAGCCCCTGTGTACTTTACTCAGTTTTGATTTGATTCCTGTGTGTTTCTGTGACAAACCTGTAGCGTTACAGCTCTACAGCTCTACTCCTGGCTTTGTGCACACTAATGCAAAATGATTCTGAGCATTAAAAGGAGGGATACAGGGGACTTCTGTTTGGATTTCTGCAGTAACTACATAACCAAGGGGGGTTACTGTCTCTGCTTTGTTCCCTCCCCTGCGGCCTGCGCTTATCCTGTTTGCTTCCTCCCTTTGTCAGAGCTGTCAAGCACAGCTTCATGCTTACAGGCTGAGCTTTCTGTACTACCAGCACTATTAAAGGCCCGCTGCACTTAACATGCATAGTGCACCTTTATTTCAGCTAGGTTGATTAGTCTTCTGCCCCTAAGGTAACAAGAAGGGTGAAGGAATTGGAGCAGCATTTTTGTGAACGTCTGTGTCAGAAAAATGAGTTAAGGATGACACTAAAAACTTTATTTGAAAAAAATTATGTATTGAAAATATACAGTAGAATCACCATTCTCTTCATTGATCCTGCCCCTTCCTCCCCAAGCATAGGTTAACCCACAAGCCTATCACAACAACCAGATGTAACAATACTGCTCTCCTTTGTTACTGCCTTTGGATGCATCTAAACTCTGTCATCAGCAAGAAAACAACAAACAAAAGATCCTGTTCTTTCTGACTCAGTAGGTATTTAACAAATCCCAGTCCTCCACAGTGAGGCACAGATGCTTCTGTTTAGAAGTCCTTTCTCTCTCTTGTTCTGCCAAAGCTCTCTTTTTATTGTTCCTTAATTCATGGCTGCCTGCAACATCCTTTTTCAAAGGTAAATGGCAATTTTGAACGTCTTCCTTATAAAACTGTAAGTTTCCAGATACTTTTGTTTCTGCTTCCACCAACTTACGTTTGACCACTTCCTCTATTCTGTGTGTCTTGCCGTCTAGAGAGGGGGAAAATAAAAGTTTAGATTTAGGGAAAATTAGGATTATGCTGTAAAATACACACTTATGTTGCAAATTATTCTGGCTAAGCCAACCTGGAATACTGACTGCTCATAGACAACGATTAAATGCTGTGGTCTCTATGCAGTTACGTACAGAAGCGCTGAGCTGCTGTTCTGGAACTCAAGTCTTCTTGTGGCTTCATGGCCTCCATAACTGCCTGCTCCCACTGCAGAACTGTCTGAAATAAGATTTGAAGGAGTCGCTGTAATGTTCATAGAAGTATCACCAAGAACTACTCTATCCCTTGCAATATTCTATTCAGTGATTTAATATCCCACAGGTATTAAGTTAGGACAATTTCCATGGAGTAAGATAGATTTAAAGCTCCATACCTGTTCTGCCCATCCCTCTGTTTTGCAGTTACTATGATCAAATTCTTTCAGAGGCACTTTTGATTGAACTAAGCCCATCTGCATTTGCATCCGCTTAACAACAGCATTCACATCCTAGTGAATGAGGAAATAAAGCAGTCAGAGGGGGGAGCATTTGATTGCACCTATCCAATAAATTAAGCTCTCTCACCTTGAGGCCTGTCCCAGAAATGTCCAAACAGTTCAACTTCTTGAAACAAAGAAGGTATCCAATTCCCACATCTGTGATTCTAGGGTTACCTGTAAGGTTAGTTAGTTAAGTTGCAGTATGTGGAGAGTTATGGTCAGAACACCAAGAAGCTACTTGTTCAAAAACTAATATTTGAACATTCTTGGCCTTTTTTTCTTGTTGTTTGGAAACTTGAGTCAAATCTGGTATTTTCCCCCTAATAATCAAAAGACAGGTTTTACAATACTACTTAATGTAAGTATCTTTAAGCATGTGAAGTGGCAAATGGCTGCACTTAGAGGTATGACTGCTGAAACCTGGAGTTGGGTACTTGGCCTGTGGGAATTGCTAAATGATATGTATTCCATCAATACTAAGTAGAAATTCTTCACCAAACAGGACACGTTTTGCTACTACTACCACACCACAAAGCACTTACAGGACAAGTCTAACACCAGAAGGTTCTGAAGTCCCTTTTTCAGTACTCGTACTGGTGCCGTCATTCTGCGAAGGCCCGCGTCTGACAGAGCGTTGTCTTTCAGGAGGAGTTGTTTCACACTGAGAGGACAAATACAATAAATACAGTTTATAGTCATGTTGTTCAGACAGTTTCACCAATTGTCTTAAAGTCTATGTGGAAAGCTCTTCAGTAGATGATAAAAGCTTAATAATAATTAAAATAGTAAGAAAGAAGCTTGCGTTGGTGGGGGAAACAAATATCGCCATATTCCTTCTGCTAGCTCAATAGAAGCACTCACTTGACCAGCTACTCCCAGAGCTCCAGCAACAAGCCAGCCCTACAGCATGAGTATTTACTACTAGAGACAAGAAGGTTGTTTATTAATTGGAGTTATTTAAATTAGGGCTGCCAATCTCCACTCGAGGCTGTGAAAAGAAAAGTGCTTGGTGAAATGGAAGAGGACAGATTTGTTAAGGGAGATAGTCATGATGTTTAAGTGAACAATGTATTACCACAGATCAACTCAGGGAAAACCACAGCCGTAGAACATTCTTCAGAGCACTTCAAGACAAAACCTTGCCTCTAAATACACTGAAGTTTTTACACTAATACAATATCCTTCATCAGTGGCTTTTCTGCCTTCTGATTTCCCAAGTCTTCTACTTTCTAATCTTTAGAAAATAAGTTCTGCAATACTGTTTGATACTAAACTGTCAATTAATGAAATATTAGGCTTCGTGCTTGCAGGAATCTCCATCTGGCACACTGGTTAAAAATTTGGCTGATTAAAGTTCTCCCTTTAAAGAAGAAAATAACTGTGTGAAGCTGTTCCAAATGCACAAGGTGCATTTATTTTAGCTGACAACTGAAATTTACAAGAAGTTGATTTAAACATGAGCAGTCAGTTAACTTGCACATTGGTAGGACCTCTGAGATTCAGTGTCCCCTTTGGATCATGTGCTTTGTGTGCAGTAAATTCTGTATTTTGTTTACCTCACGTGCAGGTTTTATCAACAACCCAAATCTTCAGACTTAAATGCTGCTGCCTGTGAAACTTTCCTGTAGAGTCACAGCCTGATGCTTGGCACTGTTTAGTAATAGCAAAAGCAAACGTCATTTATTGACACATGTCAAGCAATGAGTACCTGGACAGAGCCTCTTTAGTGAGGTGTTCCAAAAGTTCATGTTCATCTCCAAGTTTACAACAGGAAAGATCCAAACACGTCAGCTCCCGGAAAGACTTGATTTCTTCCAGCTTTTCAGAGATAACCAGGTATCTGTGAGAACAAAAAAGCTATCACTGCTGAGGAACAACAAGGGCCCTGTGTTCTCAAATGCAAGCATAATGCAGTTATTTCTCACGTATCTGTGTAGAAGTTGACAGAAGTTAGTCAGCTGCTAAAACTACCTTTGAACACTGCATTCTGCTTACAACACACTTGAGCTCCCAGCCTTCTCCTTCAACTAATATCACACTTTCTTTGACAAAGTCCCAGACTAACGATTAAGACTTCAACTTGTAAGCATCGTTATTAGAGGCTTATTTACAGATCATTAC